GTATAAACTACAGTATTTTTCTTGTTTACATGAATATGGTCTTTTCCTTTGTCCTGATGTGTAAAAATAATAATAAATAATAAAATTCACAATATATTTTTCATTTTATAATATCATCTCCACTGGCCGTAAAGGTTCCCAAAAAGTCCTTGAAAAGGCCCACGGACCACCAGTTGATAATCACAGTTGTAGCTTGTTTTGTGGCTCTGGACACTTGGTATTAGTCAGCCAAATAGCAGAAATGGCTCTTTTGATGGTAAAGGTTGCAGACCCCTGTGCTATCAGATTGGAGCATGTGTTGAATATGACTCTCAGCAATTATCACAACAAAGTTTAGCTCAATATCTGTAAAATTGACTGAGTTACAGCTATTTTGTGCGGGCAATTGTTGATAAGTAGTGGCAGCTATCTTGAATTGACTTCAAAGGGTAATCTGTTGAAGATGTTCATTCGATGATTGTTCTGTGAAATATTTGTGCATTATTTTGCTAAAAACAAACATATTTGCAAAAATCAGCTTCAAACATAAAACCTGACTAAAAATGCCACAATCAGCACAACAACTAATTCTACTGAAAAGCTGCTAAACCCATCTTACAGTGACATAAACAGTACCTTTCTGTTAACACTCGCATCAGCTCTACTTGTTCTGCTAAAGCAGGAGGCCACTGTCCCAGAGGAGTATGGGATACCGGCCAAYACCTTGGACCCCTCTATCAGCTGGAAGGACGTTTACTGGCTGCAGTCCATCACCCGTCTGCCCGTTATCATCAAGGGCATCCTGACCAAGGAGGACGCTGAGCTGGCTGTGGAGCACGGAGTCCAGGGCATCATTGTGTCCAACCACGGAGGGAGGCAGCTGGACGGAGGACCAGCCTCGGTACGCACTCACCACTATCTGCATACCTTCTTCATGAAAAGATTATGTCATAATGAAGGCAAGGTTTAAAGGGACAATATCATGTAAAATCAACTTTTTTGAGTTTTATATCATGTTATAATGTTATCCTCTCATAAAAAACATGCCCAAAGCCTTGCTTTGACTCATTCATGCATGTTTGAGAAATCCTGCAGAGTTTTTAGGAAGCCATGCTGAGGAGCAAAACAACAAGTGTTGACCAGAAACGCCTTTTGGTACCAGGAACGCCCCGGGACGTGTCTTTAAGCTGAGCTTCCTCATGGAGCACATCTCCCCGCCC